TACAGAAGCTACCTTAATTGTTCATAAACTTTTCACTTAAATAAGAAACCCACGAAGGCTACTCATCTGATTCCACTATTTGATGAGGAAAACCAGTTTTTTTGTTCATCGTAGAAATATTTCTTTTCGATGACTTCGTTTTCAAGCTGTATAGTTGTATTTATATTAAGAAAAAAGGCATTAAGTGACACTAAAATTGCCCCAGGTAATATACATATGATTAGAATAAAGCAAAATTAGTATGATTTTTAAGGAATTCAAGTTGAAATGGATGAATTGCAGAATAACAAGGATAATTCAAGTAGGTCTGAATAAGCTATCTGAAGAAGGTGTTCACAAATGGGAGACTTCGTCACTCCATGCTTGCCTTTCATTAATCAGACGTGTCCACTCCTCAGGAACACGTGAAACAGTAGATGCACAAAGAAATGAACATAATTGGTAATTTGTCCTCAACGCATTGTCAGATCATAATTATTAGTCAGCGGCATAAACACAGCATTCAATAGACTTGATTAGATGAGTTATAATCATTTCAGCACATTTAAATGTCAAACTCATAAACATTGTCTTCTTTTACATTATAATTCTTCCATGTTTCAGTCACTTAATAGAGTTACACAAAGGCTTTCTAATTCTTTATCGACTGTATCCAGGAAGCAAATTTGCCGAGATCTTGAGCATGCAGAATGGATAAGATTTCTCATTCTATCTAGAGTTGCCCAACCATTAGAGTTAGCCTGGTGTAAAGAATGACTCTCCGTAGTTCGGTCTTTTTTAATGTGCCATCCTCTCTTCTATCTAGCCTTACATTGAAGAGGTGAACTGTGGAATTTCTCTCTCTTCTCCAATAATGAAAAGCACAGCTTTTTCTCATGAGTTCAACAATATTACAGTTGTCATCACAAATAATAGAAGTATCATCCGTATATCCCCTTTACAAATAAGAGATGCCCTGAAAAGGTCCTATACCTATGTTGTTTCTCTATAATATTCAAAAGTAAACTCTGTTTACATCCCACATACAAATAACAACAATCCACAAAAACAAAAGTACTTACAGTCTCTCACATTCGTCAAAGCTGTTTTAATTCTAACCCCATAGTTATTTCTAAATATGACAATCACATGTATATATATGTGATTGAATTTAAATGTATATATATTACTATTAATTCACACAAATGAGACTGGTCTATGCAGGAAAACATTTTAGTTTGGGGTAGGGTGACAGTGATTTGTTACAAAGTATTTACTTATAATATATAATCATATAGAGAAACACATACTGTGTTGGTGATTTACAATCACAAGTGATTAATGAGAGAAGTACTGCCTTCTTTGTGCATACACTACGTAATAACCATCATCATCATCATCATAAATGTGGAGAAATGAAAGCAGTACCTATTTTTTTTTATTAGAAATTAATCACATATTTTTGTTTTTACCACGACAATCATGATGTGACTCAAAATCCTTCTTCGCTTTCTTCACGTCTTTCTTTCTTTCTGGTTAATGTTTTCATGAAATTGAAACATTACAAAATGGTATTTTTATAAATGCGTAAAAGATGAAAATCGGTTAATTTTAGTAACCTGAGTAAATCATGTCTAGTTAGTTATCCATACGTTCATCAAAATTCTGTGCTTGTAGTTAACGTCTAGGTAGTGAGAGATGTGGTTCTTATGGTTTGGTTCTTATGGTTCTTAGACATCCAAAGTAACTTAATCATTCTTTACATTATAGAGTAGAGTGGAGTGGAGCAATTAGAAAAGATTATCAAAACCTTAATACATCTCCATCATACTTGACTTCATATGGTAAACAAAATTATTTAATTGAATTCACATGATTTGCTCTTATTGATAAAGAATTACAATTCATTTAGGAATAATTTATTGGGTGTTCAGATTGACTTTTAATGGGTGTTGACGAGCGGTGAAATTCATGTTGCTCATTATATATGTGATGGAGAAGATTTGTAGCTCAGGTGGATGATGATTCACTGGGGATTTTAGGTACGTCCAGTTGATTACCAGTCGCAAATTAGATGGAATCAGCCACATTTTGATGTAGTTGTGTTCTTTCAGCTGGATGGTTTATTTGCGAAGCTTTCTTTGCCCTACTAGGCAACATCTTCAGCGCATAATTCTATTTGGATTGAGTTTTTAGATAAACTAGTGGAGAAATCTAAAAGCTCACTTCAAATTGAATTATGCGCTGAAGATGTTGCCTAGTAGAACAATGAAGGCTTCTAAAATAAACCATCCGGCTGAAAGAACACAACTACATCAAAGTGTGTCTTTGAATTAGTCCCAAACTACATGTGCAGAAAGAAAACAAAAGACTTCAATCTTTGTTTACCACAGACTGATTGTCTTGTTAGAATTATTATTTATTATTATTACTCCCTTGGGTTCCTAGTGGAACATAGGGCTTCAACTGCACGTCTCCACTTGCTTCTATCTTTCTTCTGCTGTAATTTTCACCTGCATCTATGTTAGTCCATACTGTTTCTACTCCTCTTCACACGATCTTCTCCATGGCACCCTGGGACCTTCCACTCGCCGCCTCCCTTTCGGGTTCCACTCAAGCAATGGCCTGACGCGCGTGATGTCACCCAGTGGCCTCCTCAGCCACGAATGTCCAATCCATCTCCACTTTCTCACACATATTTGTTCGGCGATTGGTTCTTGTTCTGTTTGTTCCCAATGTAATGATTTCCCAGGCGTTGTAACTTATTTTGTAGACGATGTTAGCTTTAAATTCTTTCGGTGTTGAGTTCTTTGGTTGAAACAGAGCTGAATGGAGTGATTTTGTCGGTTTGTGTGCAGCATTAATTCCTAAAGTTTCGAAGAGTGTGGCAGTGATTTCTGAGATGTTTTTTATATATGGTAGGAGGATTTTCTTTGTGCTTCCTTTATGGGCCTTTGATATGGTAAGCTGGCTTAAGGGTCGATGTCTTTTGATGAAGTTTGGTGGATATCCATTCTTTTGGAAGACTTCTATGAGATATCTTTCTTCAATTTTCCTGAAGGTGGGAGTGCTGTAATGATTCCTGCCCCTCTTTAGTAGGTTTGAATGCAACTCCTTTTGTGTGTTATTGAACTGTTGCTGTTGCTATTGAGTATTTGGTCTGTATGAACCAAGATGGAGTAGGAAGGTTAATTATACTGGAAAGCAAAGGTGAAGTAGATGAGACAGATGCAGTAGTCTTTAGTCTTTCAATGAGAGGCCATAACATGTGTTGTCAATCTTGGTGAAAGGTGAATCGTTTGTTTACTTGAATTAGTCTCCATTTGGCGTTGCTTAATTGTATACTGTTTGGCAGAGGACTGGAGAAATACGACCAGAAGCATTATTATACATTATATAAAGTTTATTTACAAACTATTCTGGCAGTAACTTGTAGTTCTGTTTCGTTATCGGTGGAACATCAATCAGTCGTATTACCCTACCCCTGTCTTCTGTTCTGCATTGGTTACTGTGCAGTGTATCAGGCATATTAGTCACAGTCTTCTTAAACAAGCGATACGTTTAGAATATTTGCAATATAAACAACTGACATGTGTCTAGTAATCTAGAATACCCATTTGGAATATTCTTTATTCTGACAGTCTATTTAAATTATCAAGCTGCCTAATTCTATTCACAACGTAGTACGTCAAAAATTTAATCGTTCTATACTTCGTCTTAAACATCTTGAACAACAATCTGTAGTAACGCGCATTTTTTGAATAGCTTTCAACATGCAACTTGGCCTGCTTTGAAAGGACAAACACGTCGCGTTTCAGATCAGTTTGCAGACAGAACAAAATTCTTTCAAATCACATACTCTAGTTGGCTGTTTTACTTGAAAATCCATAAGAGGAGTAGTTAAGATCAAGACAATTATTCTGTAGTGTAATGCAATGCAGACTTTTATCAACAGTTACCTGGTTGTCGGTGGCACAGCAGTAGAATGCTCACCGACTATGCATATGGTTTGGGGTTCGATCCCCAGCCATGGATGCACTCCCTTACTTATCTGAGCCAGTATTAAAACTGGTAAAGAGGGAAGGTTTTGCATGAGGCTAGCAACCGCATCCCGTAAAAATAAACACTACTGCTACCGAAAATTCAAAGCTATGGCTCTGTTCCACTGAGAACGTAAAAGAATAAAAAACACTTGCTCTGGTTCAGCACTGTAGGTAAGATGGCCAGCAAGAAAAGACTAGCAACACTGAACTCTGGCAACTAACTAACTAACTAACCTACAACCAACTGTCGAACAAATACGTTGAAGGGAATGGAGATGGATTAGCCACATATTGAAGTCATGAAGCACCAGGCTCCTGAGTTGAACCCTATTTGCTAACAACAAATCGGTTGTCGAGTTTGATAGTGACGTGGAAAAGATCACCCAACGAGGCAATAATGCTACCAGCTAAAAAGGATTGCAGAGGAAACAACGAAGTTAGGGATGTGCTCTAAAATCCCTACGTTTCACTTTGAACCCAATAAGAACAATGACAATAATATATATATATATTTGAATAAGCTGAAACTGTATGACAGTTCTCACATCAAATCGCCTTCAGTAAAAGCGTGGTTCAAATAACCTAAACATCACATAAGGTGTAAAGCATCAGTCAGGCTCTTGGAATGCATTTATCACCCATGAGTTCCAATACAGTCAATAAGAACAGAATAATAATAATAATAATGATAGGAAGAAGAAGAACCAGTCATCATTCAAAGAAACGAAGATTTAAATGTAGCATACAATCAAATATGGTGATATTTACAATCGCTAATAAGTAGTATAGTATTGTTAGATAAGTAAATTATGAAGCAGTATACCATCTACCTAAATTGTTCATTGTTATAAAGACAAATAAACGCATATATATATATATATATATATATATATATATATATATATTACTAAAGAAGGGGAAGGGCTCAGTGTTTTTGTTTTACAAATACAGTAATCACTAAAATAACTGAATTCGACTTTAAAATCTTAAGCTGAATTGTGTAACTGCTATGATGCATAGAATTGATGTTAACGATTGTATAGGAAGACTTGATGCGGCTGCGCGATACACAACTCGTGGTATAAGTTGACCTTCTGGGTTTAATGGTTGTAATGGACGAAAATTATCATACAAACTAGTGTGTTTCTCAGTCGATGGACTTGGTAGACCACGAAGTTGATTCACCTGAAGGAAAAACGAAGGAAGAAGAGAAAAAAGAGGAGAGGTCAATGAATAAAGTTCAAATAAATTGCATGCGATTAACGCTATGAAAATATGGTCAAGTAAAAGTTATAAAACAATTTTGTAATTTTAGTAAACACTGAGCTGGCGCAATACAGAGTGAATAACATTCTTTCTTTCTACTGTTTATGTTTATTTCTTTGAATTCTGAGTTGAAACATACAACTGAAAACTTGGAGCTTTGAAGTTTCAGTAGACCTTCTTGCGTCTACTACCAGGGTGGGGTTGATAGCCTCACGTTAAACCTTCTCCTTTCAGCCAGTTTTACTACTGACATTGCCCGGGAATCGAACCTTGGACCATATGTGTGACTTCTGATCATTGAGCCTTTGAACCAAAGATGCGTGTAGCAAGTGGGAAGATAACACCTAACTGGCAGCGTTTTAATGATGTAAAGTTTTCACATGCTTCTCATAATAAAACCTTATTTAACAGTAAAATAGGACGAATTAAACCTAGTAATGAAATAGGTGAATCTGTCTCACACGGGTTAATACGTATTTTTTATGGTTATTTCAGTTGGCTTACATTACTCTGACAGGATAAGGAGATGCCACCGTATCATTATAATTTGCTATTGAAAATTCTAATGTTGCAAACTGCATACTACTTATGATTCATATGAGTAGTTGGAAAACAATTTCACCAACCAGCAGTACTTGTTATTCCGGTCGGAGTAATCTAAACCGCCAGATCACTGTTTTGCTCGTTTGCGGCCTAGGTTATATGACTCAGCTTAGACAGCTGAATTAATTCAAACCACATCATTTACATTTAATTGAATCATAGCATATTATTGGACAAGCTGTTGAACAATCTGTGGTTTAAATTGCCACTCTTTATTCAATGGTAAACATAGAAAGATTCAATTGCCACTCTTCCAGGAAAAAGCATTCTTGGTCCTCTGGATGCAACGAATTTTCAGAATGCAGTAAAATTTATGAATTAAAAGTACCAAAATACAAATCCTACAATCAGCCTATAGCAAAGAGCAAGTGTAATTTATTTGCTCGTCTATCTATAGCACTGTACACTACGTATGATGAAGCTAAATGGAATTTCGAGCGAAAGTATATCACTACTCAGGGATTATGAAGTATAGTTACATAAAGAAACAGTATCCAGATTGGTCACTACATAGTACTCAGTATCATTGATCTAGTCCATGGTCTGCTGCAGACTGAATCCTAGCAGCCAAGTCCCCAGGCTAGATAGTTCGTCATTGTAGTACACTTCGAATCGATGTTAGAAAATCGGATGCGAGGGAAGGTAAGCCCTGGACACACATTTCATGTCCGTTTGCACTCGTTAGCACGGCGTATCTTCAGCCTTGAAGGAATCCGAATTCTGACAAATATTCGAATCTGCATCACCCAGTGCTGCAGTTAGAGATGGTATCATCGTGTTATTCGGGCTGGCGATTCAACTTCAGGCCACTAAATAGTATCCAATGTTATGCGTTTGCTGCAGACATGAGTTCTTTCAGGGTTGCAGATACACCCTGTTGACGAGTGCCAACGACCACGAAATCCTAGGGTAATGGCTTCTTGGTGGTTGCCTCAAACGGTCTGATATATAATTGCAATATTAGCCGATTTCTCCGAGTTCTTAAAGCTGTTTTTATATCACAAAAAATACATCATATAATAGGGATGAGATACAGCTGTCAGGTTTATTTGTGAAACTACCTGTGACAATTTATTCGGAATACAATTCGAATGTTAGAGGCTTCATGACCGATTGTTTATGGATGTAGAAATTGAAGCCGTGGACATAACAAATTTATTTGGTCAACAAACGGAATGAAATAGCGGGCAATGTTATAATTAATATATATGTAACAGCGTTATTCTGACATTCTAAATTCACTATCAAGTGACAGCAGCTGTTAATGAAAATCTACAGGTTGGGTTCCAAGTGAAGTATGAAACTTCAGCAGCACGTCTCCATTTTATCCCATTCTCTGCATTCGTCTTCGGCTGGTCCAAGGGTTGCCAATAAACTCTCCTCTCCCTTTCACACTATCTCTTCCATATCAGCCTCGGAGCTAGCGTGTGATATCAACAGACGGTCTTCCCAGTGTGTGTCCTATACATCTCCATTTCCTTCGGCATGTATATATATATATATATATAAGTATTTCCAACAGCACTCTGAAAACTTTTATCAACAGCCGCCTTCATTGGCTCCACTCTAAAGATCACATGGCCGGCCAAGAAGAATCGGCAACAAGAAACTCTGGCTGTCAGCGAAGCAATCAAGAACCTGTTGCTCAACAGACATGCCGAAGGAAATGGAGATGTATAGGACACACACTGGGAAGACCGTCTGTTGACATCACACGCTAGCTCCGAGGCTGATATGGAAGAGATAGTGAGAAAGGGAGAGGAGAGTTTATTGGCAACCCTTGGACCAGCCGAAGACGAATGCAGAGAATGGGATAAAATGGAGACGTGCTGCTGAAGTTTCATACTTCACTTGGAACCCAACCTGTAGATTTTCATTAACAGCTGCTGTCACTTGATAGTGAATTTAGAATGTCAGAATAACGCTGTTACATATATATTAATTATAACATTGCCCGCTATTTCATTCCGTTTGTTGACCAAATAAATTTGTTATGTCCACGGCTTCAATTTCTACATCCATAAACAATCGGTCATGAAGCCTCTAACATTCGAATTGTATTCCGAATAAATTGTCACAGGTAGTTTCACAAATAATATATATATATATATGCGTGTACATATTTCTATTTCAGGACACATTATTGCTTCAGAATGGAAAAATACAAATGCATTTCAACAAATAATGTCTCAATACTTTCTAGTAAGTTGGAAATGAGTTTTATATATTCAAGTGTTGGTTTGTAGGGATTTGATTGATTTCAGGATTTCATCATGAGCTGACATTAGTTAGAGAACCATTGGAAAACCTGGGAGTACTGGACAACTGTTTCGTCCTAGTTTGTGACTCTTCAGCAGTACGCACCCACCGGGATTCGAACCATTGGATCGGATCCCAGTGGCTTAATGGTATACGAGCTCGCCTTGTAACCGGAAGGTCCTGGGTTCGAATCCCGGTGGGTGCGTACTGCTGAAGAGTCCCAAACTAGGACGAAACAGCTGTCCAGTACTCCCGAGTTTTATATAGTTTATGATTTCATGCGGGTGTACTGAAATGTTTTTAAGTACTATAAACAACTAAAATGCAAAAAAGAACATATTCCAAAAGGATTCATTTAGTATGAGACACTGTAAACCAACATAAAATATTACTTACTTGTACACGTGTTACTGGTACTGGATCAGTGAACACTGTCCACAAGACATTTTCTGTACATGGTGGTGTTGTCAATGAACCAGGATATCGATAATAACGATTTGGATTTAAGAAGGTTAACACTTTTGCTAAATCAAATTCATCAATTGTATATGATTGTTTCAGTGCAAAGTTTGGATTTAATGTACCACCAAAGTCTTGATATAAGCTAAAAATTGTTTCATTATAGTTTTGAGTGTCAACAACTGAATGCATTATCCCGAGTACAGCCAATCCACCGACTGCACTTTCTGCTGCTTTGATATTAGGATATATTTGCCGTCTAAATAGTACAATGTGACCCTAAAATAAAAAGAGGGATTATTAAATGTTATATAATAATAATTAGCTTCATTCCAGAAACAGTATTAGTGGTACAGTATGGAATTTTCAGCACATATTTACATGATTGCATCTAATTTCATCGCACATTTAAAAGGAGTATTACAAGAAAATAAATATTAAATACAACAACAAAACAAAAATAACAAAAAGTAGAAAGGAAAATAAACAACATAATAAATTATATCTCAGTATAGGGTAGTGGAAGCTATGATTTGCGTATGCGTAGTGGACAGTAACAGCTATAATCATGCAAGAGTTTATGAAATGTTATTACGAATGTTTATAGCCAAGATGATCAGTTCTTTAGATTGAACAACACTAAACAATATACAATTGGTGGATGGTGGCTAGCAGTGGAATCCAGGATGCAAATTTCGTCCTATTTGGGACTCGTCAGCTGGATGTACCTGCATTTCTCAGTGAGTGATGACGTTCCCACTGAGGCTCGAACCCAGTACCCATAGTTTCAAACGCCAAAGCGTTATCCACTAGACCACTTGGGCCACGAGAGCCACCTCTTGTGCAACGGGTCATATTAATTATTTTATTGAATTTTTGATTTTCCCGTCGATTGATTGGACCGAAGTGCTCGGTCTCAGAGACCGAAAATCAAAATCAATTCAACACTAAACAATCATGAAATAAACATTTCAGGTTGTATGTTTTTATTGTCAGCTCTAATGTGGTGTTTGTAGTGGTAGTGTGGGTAATCCTGCATAATACAAAAATTTGAGGATGGTGATAAGGGTGTTCACAACCAAGATTGTCAGTTAATATCGCCGAACAAAAAACAACCACAAAACTAATATTACATGATGGTTAATGACGGAACAATTTTGTAATACTCATACTGCTAATATAGTCGGAACCAGTAGATACACAAAAGAAGGAATAAAATAAAGTACAAGAAAGTAAGCCAATGTTAATAATTTAAGTAGCTAAGTATGTTTAAGAAGGTGTTCACTATGTAATACAAATTAGAGAGAAATAAAAGAGCCTAAGATTATCTCATTAACAACAAAGCAAGTCATAGGTTTCGCTCTTAACATTGTTTCTTTCACTTAGAACACGGGCCAAATATGGTATCGTTGAGTTCCTATACTTGGTTATACGATCATATATTATTTTATACAGATTTCTGGTTCTACCTGATGAGATACAAAAAGGAGAGAGTTGGGAATAGAGGGGGGGTTGGGGAGTATGGTTTCTAGACCATTTTGCGCATGTATTCTGATGACTTTCCACTAATGTAGTGACAAGCTGATTGAGTTTTACACCACTAGTCCTACTAACTACCTTCAACATCCTTCTCAGGATGGTATAGTCCTTTTTCAGTAACCCAGGAAAGACTAATGGGGAGCAGTAAAGTAGAATAGGTAAGATACAAGAATTGACAAATTGTGAAAGTAGAGGTTGGGTGATTCCAGATAGTCCAAGTTCTTATGTAGTAGGCTAGACGGAACACTTTCTTAGAAATCGTTAGGATATGAGATGACAATGTATGGTCGGAAGATAGAACTAGTCTGAGGTATTTTGCATTAGACATAGTTTCAAATTTAGTCCCCTCAATGCTACAGGCTTCATGAGTACTTACTAGTGTTTGTAGATCTCGTTTATGCCTGAAGGAGAAGTCAATAGTCTGGCATGTGGCCATTTATTTTAGACCACTGACTGATGTCCGACAGGAGGCTATTTAATTTAAAATAGTCTGAGTGAGACTTAACGGGAAGCGAAACAGTCAGGTCATCTGCATATTTGACGAGGTTGATTCCATCTGAAAGAGGTAAGTCATGTAAGAAGAAGGAAAAGAGAAACAGAGAGAGAACAGCACCCTGAGGAATTCCAGCTTCCGTAAGCAAGGGAGAGGAAGATACACCATTATATACAGTGTACTGCATCCTATTAGAGAACTATTGTGCATCGACGGCACAGCGGTTAGCATGCTTGCCGACCATGCACATGATCCAGGGTTCGATCACCGGTTGACGCACTCCTTTGCCTCACTTATCCAGTAATAAGACTCGTAAAGAGGGAAGGTTGGGTATGAAGCTAGAAGCCCCATCCTGTAAAAATAAACAGTCCTACAGAGACTTCAAGTCTCCATCTTGAAGCCCTATGTTCCACTCGAAACGTGAAGGAAATTTTAAAAAAATATGAATTAATCCTAATTACGAAAACAGTGAATGACACAGACGGTCGGGAAAAGACATAATGTTTGTTGTAAACCCCTTAACACTTTAAATGCAAAACATATAAGGACATCAAAGTCAGCCAGAATCAGAAAATCAAGATGCACCTTTATGATTCGAAAATCAATGCGAAGATCTACCGCACTAAACATTAGACACACGATTAGAATTTTCAGCGTTGATTTCAAGTCGGTGCTTCTAGAAGGTTCAGATACTTTTTGCATGCGTCACTATAAGCATTTTCAATGCAGTGCATACATTTAATCAACAACTGACTTCGTTATTCTCGTAAAACACTGAAAGTGGACTGACTTAGAACCTATTGCTCCATAACTATGCCTCTAAAACTGGAGATGGGTCGTACACACTGTGGAGAACGTTGGGCAACTCCACGCCTGAAGCTTACCGGTTAAACAGGAATATGATAGATGGGGGAGATCGTGTGAGGAGGAAATGACAGCTTACAGATTATCTTGAAGCCGGCTGATAGTGACTTCAGAGGACAGAGTGAAATTTAAGTGAGTTGCTGAAGCACTGTGTTCCTCTGGAAACTCGAATGAGTAATGAACAAAAGTGGTTTCAGCGTTTCACTAATAAAAGAAAAATTCAAAGAAGCAGAACGATAATGCAAAACAATTACTAGCTCAATTTTCGAGCACTTGGTGAACTCAAGCCATGTAGCTCCATCAGAGTTGTCTTTCAAGATCATCTACAGGGTGAGGCCAAATGGAACAAAGGGCGTCAGGTTTCAGTCATTGTGTATGACAGAGGCGCTGGCAATTCACTAATACAACCAAGAACTCTGTATACAGAAAATGTTTGTCTAGTCTCTTATTCTACCATGGTCTTAACCTCTCCACTAGTCGTTTCCTGTAAAAAAAAAATTTAATTTTTTCTCTCTTTTCAATTTTACTTTTAGTTTGCTTTTACTTTTACTTCACTATTATGACTACCATATGTTTCTTTTGTACATTTTCACACCCTCTTCATACTTGTTAAATTGACACCTAACTACCTCTATTCTCACTCATTAGCAATGTTTTAACCTTATCAAATATCTAACTGTGTGCCGTTCAGTACCATGTAATTAACAACTTTTATTTTTTTTTTTTTAAAGCCACTTTGGATAATATTGTAAATTTTGTCACCCCCTATTACTCATTAATAGACTAGTATACATTTTTAGTAAATATAAATACGACTGTACAGTATCTAAATATGATTTCGTCGATAAAGAAAATTTATTTCGCTGAATCTGTCGGCCAATTTTGCTAATACCACCTCTGAATGGAAGACCATGTAGGATCTGTTTATCTGTTATTCGCACCACTTTCAATACGTCCCTTATTTTATACATCTTTCCTATTAAAAACTAACTTAATATATATTATCTACCATCGCGTCTTTGACTTCACAAGATAAAATACCATTTATGAGACCATTTAAGCACTATATAAGATTCTGTTGATATTTGAACGTTGTACAAATATAAAAATGAAAAAGTAAAGACCACTGTTAGGTCTCTGAAGTGTGGAAACGAAGTCTTCAAAGAGAGAATGGATGTTATAATGGGTCTGTTCAAACAATCAAAGCTACCAGACCATAAACTTCAGCATATTTCAAAATTGATGAATACCTAACGAAACATAAAATTTTCAAAAGTTGGTTTGTAAGGACCAGATTTGTTATTACGAATTGATCATGGAGAGATGTTTAAACGGAAATGTTAAAAGCCAACTATGGAGTACTGGACAGCTGTTTCATCCTAGTTTGGGAATCATCGGCAGTACGCACCCACCGACAGGGTCAGAACAAAAGACCTTCTGGTTACAAGGCTAGCGAGCTCGTATACCATTCAGCCACTGAGACCCGAGTCAATGGCCCATGAATTCTAAATTTCTACACGAAAAAATAAGTTATTGAAAGTTTAAAATCTATTGAAATTTAAGTATTATAAAAAAAATATCCGGAAATATTCGGACAGATATAAATTTGTGATAAATACACGCAACACTGAAGCTGGCCCCAGGTCAAGATCATTTAAGTATCTACAAGTACGCCTTATAGCAAACCACCGATGCGTGCATCACTGACGTGCTTTGTGAACACGGAGCGACCCTTTAAGCCATAAAGATAAGTAATCATTCACAAAAAGCCAATCACGTCTTCTTTTATTCATCAAAAAGGAGCAATTAATTATAGTGATCGAATAATCTGTCCATATATCTCTAGATTTCTCAACCATTTCGCGGTAGATTACTCCATGGGCATGTGCTCTTGTTCACTGTAATCATCACGATATTATTGTGATAAGTTTCAATTAGAAAGCCTGAGAGATACGAGTTTTAAAATACAAGGGCATTTTCAAATCACGCTATGCCACTTGAAATTAAATGAGATTAACAAAAACAGGCTAGATGAACACCACAAATGGATGGTACAAATTTCTGAAATATATTACTTCATTGAAACCTACTAATATCTTTGCATTTGCAAGTTAAAAGCATGTAGGTTGGTTGAACAAAATTGGTCACTATAAACCTCATGTAGTTATAGTTTCACTATTGAGAATAATTTCATATTTTCACCTTAAAATAATACGAAGAGTAACTGACTAATAATTGAGTGGTGACAGGTCTTCAGTTCATTGGTATTCATGGACCACTGGACTACATCTCTGTGTCTGAATAGTTAACGGGCTGACGTTTTCACCTGAAGTTCGTAGTTCTGATCCCCTCCCCCCCCCAATGGTCGTGGATTCAAGGGTACATATATACCACTGAAGAGTGGTAGACTAGGACGAAACAAACATCCACTTCTCGCTAGTTTTCTGACTGCTGTCAACTAGTGATTTGATTTGAATTAAAAATTTTTAAGAAGTATGCAATGTAAATAAATAAATAAATTACCTCTAAAGGATATGTTCTCCCATCAATCGTATGTTCACTGCCACGTTCATCATCTTTACCCCAATGAAAATGCATTTGTGCAACTTCGTACTTCTTGTCAAACATACCATCGAATGATACAAACCATGTATCGTTTGGAAATTGGATGACAACTGACAAGCCAAAAAAACGCAAGATACTGTTGAATACTGTCAATCTTTCCAAAATTGTATAGCAGTCAAAAATGCGTATAGTAAAATTGAAGTTTTGGATTTTATTATAATTATTATTCCCTTGGGTTCCAAGTGGAATATAAGGCTTCAAAAACACATCTCCATTTTCATCTATTCTCTGCTCTCTTCTCCATTCGGGTGTACAATTGTCCATAAAATCTTAACTCCTACTCGCCACATGATCTCCTCCATGTTACCCTCGCACTGACAGCCCACTCGTGGTTTCCCATTTGCATTTCACTTGAGGTTATGCATGATGCGCGATGCTATTCAATGGTCTCCCCAACGTTTGTCCAATCCATCTTCATTGTTTCCTACATATTTGTTGAGCAATCGGCTCTTGGTTGATTTGTTTCACGAGTTTTCTGAAGCTAATTCTTTCTGGATGGCTGACCATTCGATCTCCGGTATAGAGCCACCGAAAGGCAGGAGCTGTTGATAAAATTCTGTAAACTGTTGGAAAACGTTTTCGTAACACGCAGTGCAAGTTTCTGACCTGTATAGAATAACTGTCTGACTTCACATTTGTGTTGAATAGAATCCGAATCTTGTTGTTTATGCTGAGGTGGAGTACAGGAGGTTTCCAAACTGGTTTCAGATTGATGAAGGTCTATCTAGCCTTTCCAATTCTGGTTTTGACATCTTCATCCGTTCCGACTGCCAGTGGTTGAAACGATACTTCCCTAGCCGGATAAGTGAAGGAAGAAACCTCGGAAATTTTGGGTAACAAACTTCAAAAAACGTGTGTGCCTTCAGACTGATACAATTCCATATCTTTGAAGAGGATATGAAGCCACTTAAGCATGCATATATGTCTCGTTGATAATTTTCAACGTCTATGCTAATTTTCATTCGGAAAGAATTTTTCAATTTGGAAGAAACTTGAAAATTCTCATTAAGTCATTTAAATGAAGAAGCCTTCAGCAAAAAGAGCTACTGTTTCCAGGTATCATTCTGAGGCTATATGATCAGAATATATACAGCACATAATCATGGCAACGAGACGAAATATTCTCAAAAATGTGTCACTAAAGTGGCAAGAATTAGAAAACGAATACATAACACACAAAGCATTATTTAAGTGTTGGTTTATAGGGATTTGATTGATTGGTTACAGGATTTCATCATGAGCTGACATTGGTTAGAGAACCATTGGAAAACCAACAGGGAGTACTGGACAGCTGTTTTGTCCTAGTTTAGGACTCTTCAGTAGTATGAACCCACCGAGGTTCGAACCCAGGACCTTCCGGTTACAAGGCTAGCCAGCTCGTATACCATTAAGCCACTGGGATCCAATTCAATGGCCTATGAATTCTAACTTCTGCAAATTCACGAAATAGCTCGACCCCTAGCCAATGCCTTCGGCAAGTATTTGTCCTCACACCTGACGAGTTGCACCCTGCTGGTCACAACTTCTCACAGAAAGCATTAATTGGGTAGAAATCCACACATATTCTAAGAAACCAGTGAAGAATACCTTTTCCTAGACTAAACCTTGAATAACTTTCACTACAAAATCAATCATTTGTATAAACGCGAGAGCTAACCCACCATTGCTGACGTGATCAGTGTCATTCTAGCAATTGAGCTGCTCCCATTTAGCTAGATATACGGGCTTTATACGGTGTTTCCTGTTCAAACGTATCATAAAACTTTCCAATTCTTAGTTTTGAAAAGAAGGGAAAAGATTCCCCGGCAACTCTATTTTTCAACACTTCATCGATTCTGAACACCGAGAACCAGCATCAAAGTCATCAAAAGAGTACCTGAAAATCTTGTCACAGAAGTATAAATCAAACTTCTTCAAGCGTCAGAAGCTATAGCAATCACCATATTAAATCCTTAACTCTGCATACGAAAGGAGTTTGTTCAGCCTCTGCAACTAAAATAAACCGAATTTTTCTTAACAGGGGACACAAAATTATCCCTGTTTGTATTTTGAATTACTGGAAAATCTGCAAGTGCTGAACTTATGTTTCGTCCCAGTTTAGAACTCCGTAGTAATGAATTTATTATTATTTATTATTATATCCTTTAATTCCTAGAGGAACATAGGGCTTCAGCTACGCACCTCCATTGCCTTCTGTTTTCTACCAACTTTTTCACCTCGCTCCACTTCTGCCCACATGCTTTCATCTCCTCCTCACATGACCTCCTCCAAGTCACCCTTGCACTGACGACCAACTCGCTGCTTCCCTTTCGGGTTCCACTCGAGCAATGACTTGTCTAGTAATGTCAACCGATGGTTTCCTGAGAGTATGGCCAGCCAATTCATCTCCATTTCTTCCTGCCTATTTGTTTCATAATCGGTTCCTGATTGGTTCGCTCCCAGAGATCCCTGTTGCTGATCTTTTCTGGCCGGCCAACTGATCTTGAGTATTGAGCGAAGACAACTGTTAATGAAGGTCTGAAGTTTGTTGAAGATGCTCTTTATGACGCGCGGTGCAAGTCTCTGATCCGTATAATAGCACTGACTAACTTCACATTGGAGTTGAAAATCGGATCTTACTTTAGATGGTGAGTGCTGTTGACCTCCACACAGACTAAGTGAGAGTAATGAAAGCTTGTCTTGCTTTTCCGATTCTTGCTCTGATATCCTCGTCGGTTCCGTCGGCCTGTAGTTGAAACGATGCTTCCCAGGTAGGTGGGTAGGTAAAGGAGGTTGTTTCTTCTAGGTTCCTCCCATTTATGCTGGCTGATTGTTGTCTGTTGTTGTTGTTGTTGCTTTTGATGTAAGCCGGGAATCTTCATCACCTCTGTTTTATCTATGTTCACTTGAAGTCCCTCCTACCTTGAATGCTTCTTCTATCACCAAGTTGTTGCTTTTCACTTGCATATCTTCCAGTTTGTGGGAGATCAGACATATATCATTGCTGGCGAAGTCTAGATCCTCCAAGTATTTTGTGTGAGTCCATTTTATGCCTGTTTCCTCATTGCCCGTTGTCTGTCTCATTATCCAATCTACTGCAATCAGGAAGATCATGGGTGATAGTAGACAGCCTTGCCTCACTCACGTCCTCACTTCAAAGGCTTCCGTGAGTTTCCCGTTGTGGGTTACTTGGCATGCAGCATTGTCGTATAACTGTTGGGTGAGATGTATAATTGTCGATGGAACCCCGTAGTGGCGAATTAGTTGCCAAATCACCCCTCGATCGACGCTGTCGAAGGTCTTTTCAAAGTCGATGAAGTTGAGTGAGGTGGAGAGGTGACTGCCATTCCAAGCTTTGTTCAATGATGATCCGTAGAGTGGCGATTTGATGAATACATCATGGCTTGTTTCTCCTGAATCCAGCTTGTTCCGGTAGAAATTATTCATCTAGGACTTGTTTGATTCTCTCCAGGATGGACAGGAGCACAAGTCCACGCCAGTTTTTGCACTGACTTAGGTCTCCTTTCTTCGGTAGTTTGAATAAGTATCTTCTCTTCCAATCCTCGGGTACTTCGCTGTCTTTCCACACCTTCTCTAGCAATGGGGTCATCAAGTCCGCTGTTGTCTCCAGGGCCATTTTCAATGCTTCTGCTGGGATTCCATCTCGTCCTGGTGCTTTTTCAGCTTTCAGCATCTGGTATGGTAATGAATAAATACCCTCTGAGATTTGAACCCAAGACCTTCCATATATGAAGCGAGCAACTGAACCAGTCAGCCACAGGGATCCAACCCAATGGCCCATGAATTCCAACTACTGCCTATTCGACATAAATATTTAGCTCAACTGTCAGCCAGCTGCACACGCGAGTAGCTGTGCCCTTGCCTGACTTGGTAAACCCAGCTGGTTACGACTTCTCACTAGAACACCTGAGAACTAAGATGAAACAGTTGTTCAGCCCTCCCATGGCTTCTAATAATTCTCTAACCGATGATTATTCGTGACCAGCTCTGTTACCAACCAAATCCCTGTATTTTCAATTAAATTATTTTTGCTCCCCACCCGACACTATCACATTTCTACTCCCCATAATAATGATCTTGACACTCTTTCAATTTCAGCTGAGTTCTACTCGGTCTTGTCAGTTGCATAACGCCACGCAACCCAAAAGGGAGGCGGTGAGTTGGTCGTCAGTACAAGGGTGACTTGGAGGAGGTCGTGTGAGGAGGAGATCAAAGCATGTGGGCAGACTTGGAGCCAAGTGAAAACTCAAGCAGAGAATCGAAAGCAATGGAGACGCGCGGCTGAAGCCCTATGTTTCTCTAGGAATTAAAGGAAATAATGATAATAATATAATTTTTATTTACTGTTATTCCAATTATTACCTTCCCTATCACATGATTGTTATTCAAACCTTACAATTTTAATGAAACGTCTTTCGAAAAGATTCCTCTTTTTGCTTTAAGTATTTGCAGTGTGTACACGAGTGTATAGCTTGAAAGTGATATCATTGGATAGTGTAACTCTTCTCTGAACACCTCATTTTTTTGAATCTCCAAGATACCTTACTTATGTTCAATATTGCGAAGTCAGTTAAGTAACGATAGAAAGCGGTGAGTAAGAACAGAATTTAACTGGAAATATCATTGGAAAAACAAACAGATTTCACCTAAAGGGTATTTCATAGTAGTTTACACGTAGAAAAGCACATGTATTTCACCTTAAGAAATATTCCAGCCCTTGCGAGTGTCAATCAGAAATTAAGGTTTCAGGGAAATATACATATATATATGATGTGTACTGGCCCTCCAGTAAAAAGCGAATATGAGTGACATCAAACGTATGCTGCCTCCAAGTTCAACGAAAACATTTTTTGTCCTTGAAGAAGTGCATTACATAATGTAAGGTGTAAGAAGGGATAACATTGTAAGTTAGAAAAGAGACAGAAGTTGGTATGACGTCATAAGTATGAGATAATGACTAATCAATTAGCTCGTGTAGAATGGACAAGAAGAAACTAGTGGAAAGGCGATAAAATGTTTTTGTACAAAATCCGTATGAAAAAGAAACGTT